GCAGCAAGAGCAGTGGGTCCATGTTCGAACATAGTATGGAGCTTTTGACGTCGCTCAGCACCTAAAAGAAGGGCTTCCAGAGCACTGTAAGTAATAGCCTCATCTCGTGCTTGTGCAGAAGCAACGGTATTCTCAAAAGCAGGACCAACATTATTTAAAATAATGGCAACAAGATCAGAATCAGAGACAGGAGAACCAGATAGAGAGAGAGTATCAGCAAGATAATTTATACGGTCAAGAAACTCAGCAATAGATGAATCGCCACGATGGGTATTCATAAGCTCACTCACTACGCAGTTGGATAAGACGACCAGTAGATTGAGAGGCATACCTGTCACGTAAGCAAGTCCAAGCAGAATGTGAACTTGTCTTACCGATGAGAGATGCAAGAATAGTAGGATGAACTGAATTGTTGATCCATGAAAGCACCATGGCATCTTGCTGAATCCATGCATCGAATTCAAGATTAACTTCATCAGTGAGTGCACCCTCATCATCCTTCAAGAAGGGAGGAGGACATTTGTTGGTTCTATCGACAAAAGACACCAGATTCCTGCTGCGAAGCAAGGGCAACATTTGGGCATGCCACAAGGGATAGTTGGTACGGTCCAACTTTATGGTGAGAAGGTTGGAGACATTAGGAAGAGATGGAAGAACAGTGGGGTTGGAGGGATTAGAACTTGACGCCATTGAAAAAAAAATTATAATAAAGCTTTCAGTCGTTAAACTTTTAGCTCTGAGATACCATAAAAGAGATTTGAAAACTGAAATGCAGTACTCGAATTGTGTAAGCTCAACTCGATACCCGAGTGAGTGTTCATTCATTCATATATACAGGATTACAATGGATCAGTTTGTTACATTCAAAAGATAAATACAAATATTTGAAAGTGTGTCCAGAAGTATTTGAAAGTATGGATAATATCAGATAGGAGAGAGTTGTGTGGTTGATGGACTCTGGCGCTTCAATGTTGGAGATGAACTCAAACTCTTCTGTTGCAAATTGCAGGGGAAAGAATCAGTTTGAATGTGTGCTGACGTGGACTGAGGAATATCTGAAGTGGGCTTATCAATATACACATTCACTAATTAACATTTTTTTCCCCAAGAAAAGGATAAGACCACATGACAGAATTTAAATTAGGGTTAGGATAGTATGGATGCTTGTAGTTCGAGGAGGTCCCTCAGAAAAGCCACAATAACTTAAACTGAGGATGTCAATATATAAAAGTTTGCCTCAATTATTGTGAATTAATGGACTTTGAAAAACCCCTCATACTTCTCTCAGCCTTTTTCTTTCTTTTTATAATCTTTTTCATTGAGACCTAAACTTCAATGTATGATATTTGCATCTCTCATTTTATTTCTTGAGAATAACTTATCTTTATTACATAAATTTTATCAATAAAACCGTTCAATTTTTTAATCTTCATTCATTTAAAAAAAAAGAATTACATGTTCCAATTCATGAGCACACATCTAAGAACTCTTCAAAGTGGTAAAAAAGTAATCACGTCTTGAGGTTTGAAGAGCATGTGAACCAACCCAATTGGCCATGTGTTTTGTGAATGCTGCCTCCTCAATTATATATGGCATCGGCACCCGACGGCAAAAGCTAAGGTACTAGAGACTTTGTCTTCCATGTTTTTACTTTTCAGTTCAATTCTAATGATGGAATAATTTTGTCTCTGTTTGTTTGGTAAATTCCACATCAGAAACATACTCATAATTTGGTCAGTTAAAAAGTGATTGTGTGGGCTTTAGTTTGCCGAGCTTAGTCACATGGACTTGTGACTCGATGTTGGGCCAATAAATGTTTTGAGGATCTCTACCAACATTTGAAATAGAAGTATTACTAAATCAAAAATTAGTTTGGTTGTATATGGCGACAAATGATGCCCCATGGTGCGTAGTCAACACATGCTATATATTGAGATACCTAAGAGTGTTGAGGCCTTGAAGACGGGGCCTTGGGTCAGAGTAACCATTCATTCTCATTGCCAAGACATATATCAAACCCCAAAGCAGTCCAATCCATGCCGTGCAATCCAAGAAAAGAGTCCAGTTTTAGTCCACTCCAACGCACCATAACGCCCCCTCTATATATAAATGTAGTAGCATATGTGAACTCCTAAAACATTTGGTTAAGTTCTTGATTCGCTCTGTTATTTTTGGGAGATTGCCGTAGGAAGACATTATAGTATGGGGTATCTAACTTAAGGAGGTGTAGTCAAGTGGAATTTTCTTGGATTGCATAGCACAGTTGCTATCGAAAATCAACTAATTACTAATTAGTTGTACAAATATCAATAAACACTCCAATTTCTTCTTATAAATGTAATTCCCTTTGAAAACGAAGCCATAGTTAACTTGTGCACTTAATCATCGAATTCCTTGAGATTTTGGTTTGTCGAGCTTAGTAATGTGGGCTTCTGATACGAGGGCAATAAAGGTATTGAGGAGATGAAAAACCTTAGGGTATGTGCCTTAGGAATATTATATGTAGAGTTAGCCCGTTAGGTTTGAGGGTGTGCCTTTCTAAACACAAAACGATTCACGAGAGTGCAAGTGGAAACTACACCCGTAACTGGGACTTGCCCATCTCGCTGGGCGGCATTGGCTTTCTAGAGCAATGGCTCTAGCAATGCATATATAATTGCGTAACATGGCTTACTATCTTCAGTTGCTCTCGTCTCAACACAGCACTCATTTTCTGTGTAGTTCTCACATTTTTAAGGGAAAATCGACAATATTATCAATAGAGGAAAGGATTATAATTTACAACCGAAAGACCAAAGACCCAAGTCGTAGAAGATTAGATGTACAAATAATCAATAGAATCACACAGAAAAAGACACAGAACACAAATATACATATATCTTCTTTGTTGGGTTTCATGATTTTCGAAAACTTCAAATACTTGGAAACATTTTCAGAATCAATCTCCGAATTCGATTCGAAAAGGGTTTTAGCAATCCAGGATGACACCTGAAATTTTGCATGTAAAATCCTAACAGAAAGTAGTTAAAGAAATTTATAACTAATTAATCTAATTAAGCCTTGTAAAATCCTAACATTTGGTTATGTGCTTAATTTGCTTAGTTATTTTTGTGAGGCTGCAGTTCGAACACGTTGCAATGATGGGTCTGTAACTTAATTAGTTGGCTCAAAAATATATATTTTTTTTTGCAATTTGTTTCGAAAGTTGGATTGGAGGCAGGCAGGCCGACAATTGGTTTGAGGCTCTCATATATACACAGTTGACTCTATTTGCTTAGTTTTCTTGGATGATATTCATGGACTTAATAGGCTAGCTCTCGAGTAATCTCTAATGGTCAATTGTCTGATTTTTAACCTAGGTTACGTACCAACAAAAACAAAAGTTGATGTGGAAGAACAGATCGATGATTAGCTTGGACTATTGCTGCACATCCAACAACAAAGTACACATGTTACAAATGTGAGCTCCAATTTGGACAATGATCTGTCGTTTCAAAAAAATGACATCACGAGTGTAGCACTTCTCTATGCCGTGACATATGACCTTTTATGTTGAATTTCAATGTTTACTGGGTTAACATCATTCTAAGTTTTAATGATATTTTTGGTATTTTGATATTTTGTTTCTATTAGGATTCCAAACAATCCTAGTGTTGAAGTATACTTTATATGGTGTTAGGTTGTCATACTATTCAATCTTAAATTTAGAGAATTTTCTCTTGCCTTCTAATGGTTTCTTATAGCACGATGCGTCAAAAGTTATGCATGCATGACAGAATTCCATATGGCTCCATTTTTCTTAATTCCTTAGATTTCATAATAAGAACACAATAATTGTTTACTGGACTAATCTGTCCCAAGATATGTTGTAACAAGGGACTCAAGATGCAGAATTGGGTACATGTACAGAACAAAGTTAATCAACCTAATTTGCTTAGTCTAGCTTAAACTACCCTATGTCTGTATGCTCTGTATAACAGCATGGCCAAACTATATATCTAGGTAGTTTGATCATGTTGTTGTCTAGATAAACAGATGGACATACAATGATGCTAAGTGCAGAGAATTTTCTGTTCTTGGACAACATTTTCCATAATATATTTTGGGGTTGTACCTACTCACCTACCTCTAGAAATCACCACATACTTGGATTTCGCTTTAAGACTTAATTTGGTATGTGGGAGCCAAGTCCTTGGAAAAGTTGGTCCAATATATGAGTAGAAGGTAACAATAATTTTTTTGTTTTTTTTAACGAACGATTGTATCTACACTAAAGGGGTGGAGGGAGTGGGCTAAGCCTCATAATGGGTTATGAATAATGTGATTCAAACTTGCCTTTGGTGAGAATCGAACCTAAGACCTCTCACTTACAAATAAAGAGGAATATCATTAGAATAATAATTACAATCTCCTAATTTCATTTTAACTTATAAATGATTAGAATTTGTATATATGCTTCTAGATCATCCAGAGGCTACTTTTTAGCTTAATTGGGATTCCACGGGTGCGTTGCAAGAAAGTTTTTCTCATGCTTAACATCAAATATGTGATGTCGACTCATCTAGAAGTGTTTTTAAAATCACTGAAAATGCTTTTGGCAAATACGTTTTTAGACCCCAAAAACACTTGAAATGCATCTTGAAAGAAGCACCAGTTATGTGTGCTGCAGGTGCTTTTGGTGAATGCATTTTTGAGTTCCAAACGCTTTAACCTAAATATGTACTATAAGTACTTTTTAAAAGATTCATTTGCACTTTTACTAAAAATTGGTTACTTTCTTCAAAAGTTTTTTCAGTCATATAAAAATATTTCCAAACACACTTGCAAGCAAGGATTTTTTTCTCTTTGACATACTTAGCTATAACTGAGAGTATATTCCATGCTAATATAACACTTATCCTGTGAATGAGTGTTATACTTATTTAAAGAGACATATTTTGATTGCATGCAAGAATTTCTCCTATTTCACAACAAATAATGAATAGCCCTACGTGGAGTCCCTGCCGACTGGTTAAGGGATAAGCACTAAGCAGAAAATAAATTAGGGATAAATGAGTGAAAATATTGCCAAATTGGCAATACGTACATAAACACAAAAACCGTTTCAAGTTGGGACAGGTGAGTTTTATGAGCCTTCGGCTTTTGCTTCCGTTTAGGCAGCAGGTGATGTGGGCGAGATGCCAAAGCTAGCTAATAAGTCAAAACAGAAGAAAGGAGATAAATGCATCAAACTGGCCGTTTTTGTCTATAAAAGCATCTTTTAAGAGAGAGAGAGAGAGCTGCAGGTGGGTATTTCAGTAGTTATGGAGGAAGAAGACGCACGCACAGAAGAAAGTCTGGTTCAATTTCTAGGTTTTGATGGAGAAAGTTGTGAATACATAACAAAGGTATTGGCGCGCCTCAATTTGAATGAGTGGCTAATATCGGAGACTTAGCCATACGATTCTGATTGAGCCGCGTCAATATCTCCTTCTGCATCTTTCTCCATCCATCCTGTCAACTCGTCATCAGATATTCATGGTATGTTGTTCTTGATCAAAACCCCCCTTCCTTCTTTTATTCCTAAAGCCTCAATTTCTCCCTGGGTGTTATTAGAAACCCTATGATTTAAGCGCTAATTTTTCTTTTAATTGATTCTCTCTGGGTTCTATTAGAAATAGTCTTTTGTGTTAAGATATAATTGTACATCCATGCATGCTTCCTATTAGATCCATATATATACCTTCTATATATCAAACCAATTAGGCAAAGAAAATTGGAAAGAAACTTGAGATGATCATAACATATATGCGTATATCATCAGCTCCTCCCCGCTAGCTAGGGTTTGCTGCTGACTGGTGATACCATATGTCTAAGAGAGAGAGAGAGAGAGAGAGAGAGAGAGAGAGAGAGAGAGATAATTATTTGGAAATCGGAAAGGGTGCTGAAAAAAGCATGATGATGTAGGTGACTGTCATTCAAGAGAGTAGGTAGAAAATTAAGGGCAGATGCTCCAGGTCGGGCCATGCCCTTCTCTCCCACTATATCATTGTATATTCAATTATCTAGGAAGAAAGATCCTTCCAGATTTTTTGAAACAGAAAAACAAATAAATTATAAAAACAAAAGAAAGAGAAGAAAGCACGTTCATACTTGCTTTAACACAAATGAGATATCAAATTAGTATTTTATGTATATGTTAAATAAAATAAATCCGGCAGGAACCTTAAAGCGGGAGCAATGCTTCAAAATTGCTTAAATTTTAAGATCGTGTATCAACTCATCATACACGCATGATCTTTGTGCTTGGGTTCATATATTATCCAACACACACAAAAAAATATATATATATATATATATAGTAGGATTTATTTATTTATTTATTATTTTTTTTGGGTTGAGAAATTGACTAGTTAGCAATTTAGCTTATTTTTATGCATGTTAGTTAGAGTATTTTGGTATTTTATGTCTTAGGATTTTCTAGTGAGATAAGGATTATGATTCCTTTCATATTTTATGTTATGGTTAGATAACTTAGATTGCTTTCCTGTTTGTTTCCGAATTAGGGGCATGTTTACTTAAAGATATAAGAGAAGGAATGGGAGAACTTAGAAATAGGGGAAAGTAAGGAAATAAAGGGCTAAATTGATCTGATTCTTAAAGTTTAGGTATTTGATTACTGATTTCATGGAAAAACTAGCATTTTTCTTATTTCACATGTTATTAAACACATGAGTAAAATTAAGAAGTTAAATGATTCTCATACATATACTTTAGTAAATGCAAGGAACTCAAGAACCAAAATGAATTCAATTCCGATTCCTTGTAACATGCACTAGGTGTTAATATCCTCTTGTAACTCAATATAATTTAAGTTTGATAAGATGTCTTTTCACGTTATGTAGTAGGTTTGGAATAATAATACGAGTTTGTATTAAGCTAATTCTTTGATTTTCTGTTGCTTTCCGTAGCATGTTAAAACCTATGTTTGTGCAGGACCAGTATATATAAATTGTACCTAACTTTGGCTATTACCATTGACTCGAACATAGAAGATAGAACAGTTCACAGTTGTATAAATCTTGAGGTATAAACCATTCATTCGTTGTTTCGTTTTCACTAGAGGAATAGAACTGATCTAAAATTTCAGATGAAGAAAAAAATTACAGAAAACTCTAAAAACATTAAAATTGAAAGAGACTTGGGGAGAGAGAAAACAGACATGCATGAAGGACTGTAAAGGAATCGTATTAATTAGATATGGGCCAAAGGCTTCAGGAATCTCAGATCCAGAACCGAGCTGGTGAATCGGTAACCATAACTGCAATGTGAGTAGGTCCTACGACCCTTTTCTTTCACTTGCCTTTGCATTAAACATTTCACCATCTCTGTCGATGGCCAAGTACTAGCTTCTAGCTCTAGCAAGAAAGTTTCTCCAACGGCTAGTCTAAGGAATAAATGTGTCTATATCTGCATATGCGCAACACCGAAAAGATTCTTTCATACAACTGCGAGTATTGAGCCAGTTAATCAGTATTGTAGACTTATGGAGATATAATATATGAAACAAGTGAATCTCTCACAAAACGCCCAATCGAGTATTTATATGTGCGGTTTATGGAAAGAAATTTACATGTAGCCGATCATATACTTCTCCTTGTTTATATAACATTTATTAAAAAAAAAAAAAAAAAAAAAAAGAGTGTTGTTGTTTACTTGTTTTGTACATGTAATTGTATGTGTATGATCTTTATCTTTTAAGTAATGGATGAAAGAAAGAGTGTCTATGCTAAAAGAAAAGCACTAGAGTACGTTATATGAGTTTTCTCAATTTGTTACCAAATAAATTGGTAAGAAATCCAAACCCTTTTGGTTACTTGTTTATAATATCTTGAGAAATTATTGTCTGTTGTGTTTTCGTGCTTTAATATGATCACTTCACATGAGTACATGTAATAAACTGTGTTGGAGGCTAATTTCATGTTTATGGAAGGGGTAATGCACTTTTGTTGTTTCTTGTCATGTGGTCTTTTTCAATTTACCATATATATATATATATATTAATAACTACCGACATTACTCTCCATATGATACTATATATTGATACTTCGATTGCATAGTTGTAAAAATGTTTGTCCGTAGAAATCGAAACTGAAAAAGAGAAAAGGATTCGGTTTTGATCAATATCATCATTGAAATTGAATCAAACCAAATTATTGGGAATTGGTTTGGTTCAGTCAGTTTAAGCTTATTGAACATATCAATAAAAAAAAGTTCAACATTTCAAGAGTTTTAATATTTTAAACATCCAAACATCTCACGCATTCCAATTTGATTGAAAGATTAAATTTTTCGAGACATAAAAAGTTTATCAAGTCAAATAGAACTAAGTTTTAATTTAATACAATCTCATGATTGCAAACAATTTATTAATTACAAACTCACGTAAGAATAAAATACATATAAATAGGGCTGTAAAGGAGGCGAGTCAAACCAAATATCAATTTTCTTAAGTTTAGCTTGTTTAATATTTTTCGAGCTCGAGCTAGGCTTGGCTTGCTTCTTATTCAAACCGAGCTTAAGCAACCTTAAAAAGTTCAAGTTCGATACTGAGCTCAAGTTGTTTCGAGCTATTTCTTTCATATAGTAAGTTGGTTGGTTCGATTTTATAAAAAATAAATAGAAAGATTGTTCGTGACTTGGGCCCCCAAATACATGGTGGCTTGACTTGTTTTTAAATCAAGACGAACTAGGCTCGACTTGGTTCTTTCATGAGTCGAGCTTTGACAAGCCGAACTCGGTGTAAGCTCGATCTATTTCGAGCAGATTTATAGCCTGATATAAAAATCTCTTAATTGTTAATAGTCATTACAACTAATAATATGTTGAGACTTATAATATGTGTATGGTAAAACCTCTAAATAATTAACTTATAATAAGTTGATATTTTAAAATAAATTAATTAATAATTAAAAGATACATGGTTGGGTTTTGGTTTTAGTTAGTTTCAAAAGTATCAAAACTGAATCAAACCAAAAATATATTAGTTCGGTTCAATTTTTAAATTATTTGACTTTTTTTCTTGGTCAAAACCAAACCAAACTAACCAATGTGATTCGAATTGGTTGGTTTGATACTCACCCTAGAGATCATCTTATTATGTGACATGACTCAAAATTTTGACCTTCTTTTCATTTCATCATTATAAAACTTTTACTAAAGCCTCTTGATACAGAAAACAACTTAGATGACATGGGAATATAAGCATGTGATGTCTTGTCTTAACAAAACAAAAATATGTGGAAAAAAACTTAAACATGCCTTTATCTTTTTTTCATTGATGGTATACATGTGTCATACAAGTCATTCTCCTTGAAATGACTTCAAACTATCATTCTATACTTTACCCTTCAATTACTAATATTGAAACAAAAAGGGTGTATACTAGTATGAATCCGGATCCTCACCAGATCCTCTTTGTGAGAATCCCGGAGATTCGTGTATCATATCTGTTCATCATACATCGTGCAGTCATAAATCATTTTAAATATTTTTATTTAAAATTAAATACAAACAGTACCTGATCGTATGATGTATGATGAACGGACACGATTTACGAATCTCCAAGATCCGTATCAAAAGAATCCGGAGAGGACCCTATTGGTACTAGTACTTTCATTTTACATGTATTCATACACCTTTATAATGAAAAGAAAAATAGAAGCAAAGATTTGAAGAGCAAATACTAAGAGAGAGTATTGAGTACGATAATCGTGTCACATATCTATTCAAAACATACATAACAAGACTCCTGCATTTAGATCTCACATAGGCACATTTTGACAGACCTTAATGAAGGGCCTCCTTTGTGCGTATCTTGGACAAAAAGATGGCGTAGTGCAACTACTTGTATTCAGAACTTTCTTCAAAATTAAGGAAAAAAACTACTTCGGTCATGTTACTTAATGAGATGATACGACGTCATTACTTGCTTTTTCATGTAGATTTTTATTGATAAACATTTTGACAGCTATGCAATACCAAAATATCAAAATATAATCTTAGTAATATAAATAGTATATCGACAATCAATAACTTATCGATATAATTATTGATATTAGGTGGTCGGACATGAAAAACGAAAAGATTCTCTCCAGTAGCATTTAAGCTTGGCCATGCATTGATGTCAGAGAAACATCATCAATAGCATCAGTTGCTGGTAGAAGGGCTCATTGTGAATGTTGTGTGGGTAGGTGGTGGGTGGGTCAAGAAGAAGATAGCAACCAGAGCTGCTAGATTTATCATTTATGGGGCTATTGACAAGGACCCATGGCCCCCTTTCAATTTTTGATAATTTGATGGATTCCAACTTTTCTCTGCTCCGTTTGTCTTGCCTCCTAAGAAATCAAATCCGAGTCCCACTTAGTAGATATGTTTGGATTTTGAGTAGAAATCATGGAAATATCTGATTACTTTTAACTAAGTTTTCTTTTCCTTTTCACCATCTCTTTAATAATTGGTGTGACAATGTTCAAATTCAAAGTACCCTGTAAAGCCAAATAGTAGTTTCTTCTTCCTTTCGAAAAGCTAACTTTTGCAAGCAAACCCTTTTGTTGTAGCCGTCTTGTTCCTTCCAAACAAAAGATCTTTCACTTTTTCTTATCTTTTGCTACATTTTGCATTTGATTTTAAGGAATTAAGGGGGCGTTTGTTTGCCCTCACTAAGTTGGACTGGACTGGACTGGACTAGCTATTAGTCCAATACTGTGTTTGTTCCATGCTGGGACTAACATTAATGAGACTAAGGGGGACTAGCATGGACAAAACCCTTCGCTAAGAGGTCTTAGCGAGACCCCCCAATAATCATGGGACTAGCTAAGACTATCGTCTCTTTCTCATCCTCGTCATGCTCAACAACCACTCCCGACAGACTCCTCGTCATCTCTGGTCACCTAGATCAATCATTAACTTTCCGAATCTCTTTCAGATCCATTTCACAACCAACTTTCATATAAAATATACCAAATTGAAGCTGGGAGTGACAAGATTACGATTTTACCTGAATCGAGGCCAAAATGTGGTCGAATGTGGCCGGAAAATGGCCTGAAAGTCTCGGCCTGTTTGGGCTTCTTCAAATCTATGACAGATTCGAGCATTCAAAGCTAAGATCTCGGTCCAGGGATGGTGGTGAATTTTTTGGCGGTGCTAACTTCATCCAATTTAACGAGGGTTGCCGGAAAACACATCGGGAAACCTGCAACTCGTCGGGAAAATTGGAGCCGTGAGGTTCCATTAGAACAACGCATAGCTAGAGAGGGCGGGAGGACAGAGAAATAGAGACTGGAATCAATAAGGAGTTTGACCAGGAATGAGAAAGAGACATGAATTGAGAGGTCTAAGAGGAAAAAAAGAGGGAGAGGTTGGGACGATGAAAGAAGAGGAAAAGAGTGGGACGGAAATGGTAGGAAAAGATGAAGAAAAAGATAAGATCATAATAAAATATTAATAATTTATATATTAAATAATATAATATTAGAATTTGTTATTATCCAGCTTCTTAGTCCAATACTGCACCAAACGCTTCACTAAGTTAGTCCAGTTTAGTCTAGTCTAAGCCAGTCCAGCTTAGTCCTTGAAGCTAATCCAGTCCGAGATAGTCCGGCGCAACAAACGCCTAACTGTATTCTAATTCGTTAAGTCGGTCAATAAATTGTTACTTGTGAAGCCAAATATAGTACCAAAAATCTTGGAGTTGACACGTGACCTTTATTCACAAGTGATGAGAATGCTCTACGCACTTAAGTCATAAACTTTCTTGTTACAAAGAAACTAACTTAAGCATCAAAGATCTGTTGGCCAAACCCTCCCCCCTTCCCTTTCCCAACACCTCGTGGGCTCGCTTGTGGCTTTGGCCTTGATCAAAAGTGTTTACTTATTTTGTAGGTACACTTTCGTCAAGACTGAAAACGACATAAATTTGCTACCACAGTACTAATGACCTGATTAGATAATTAATTAAGAATACTTATACTTTTATTATGTAGTTTTCACATTTGTACGATTATTATCAAGATTTTATATTGTAGAACGCAATTAATTCTATACATATAATGAGTTATTTCTCATTACTCGAAAATTACAGCATGCCACATATAAATATGTTGTAATTATAAACTTTGGAAAACTAAAACTTTCCTTTTAATCATCAGGACAAAACAATTCTTTAGTACCCAAATTGGGCATGGGAAAGAAGACAAGAGAAAAAGCATTTCAAGGATATCACATGCAAAAGCTAAAATTGGGCTACAGGAGACAGCCATGTAGGAAGCTCACATGCATTTATCAAGACAAGCAAGTTTACATGCAAAGCCAAAAAAAAAAAAAAAGAAAAAAAAGAAAAAGACAAATAAGTCAAACCACGTTTCAGAAACAGTGTTGACAATTTCAGCAACAGTAGAAGATGACAAGTACCAAGGAGATGTCCATACCATACATTTATAAAAAATTTAAATCAGAGTATTCTCACTCAGTTTATATAAGAGAAGTTCCCTTCATTGTACAAACAAACCTCAACATCTCAACACCATATACACAATACTTCAATCCTCGTACACTCAAGCATCCTAAAATTTCATAGCATCCTTTGTAAACACTTCTTTGTAAACATTCCATATATCAATAAAAATTCAAGTGTACAGATTCTAGCAATCTCCAAATCTTAAGTAAGTTTTCTTTTCTTTCTATTAGTGTGTTTGTTTAATTAGGCTTCTAGTCCAAAATAAGGAAACACTATTGTAGTTATATTATTAACCTGCTAAATTGACGATCATACTTTGTTCGAGCACTCTGTTATAGTTGAATGCTTGCCATACAAATAACTGGACATTAACCAGGGTACCTCTGAGTTCTTCATACCTCTGAGTTCAGCCATTAAGGCCTTATACATGCATTGTGAGTTGTCGTCATGCTGAAACATGTCGAGTTCCATGTGCAAGGTTTATGTCTAGTTGTTATAATGACCACGACTATTTAACAGGGCATGCTTTGCGAATTTGCTATTAGAGCCAAGTTTAGCATTTTAATAGTATAATTATAATAGTAAAGTACCTTGAGGACGAAAGTCATTAACACAACTGATATCACTCTTGTTTATGTTGTATGAACAACATATATTATTGTCCTTGTAGACCTTGTCAACCACAACCACCAGGAGAAAGTTAGGCATATAACCATGATTAATGAAGAGTCCTTTAGACTATCTCCTATCTCCTTACATAGGTGGACTCCTTCATACAAAAATATTCTAAAATTTCGAGGGATCCAAATGCTAGCATTAGATGAGTTTAAAGATTTTAGATATGAAATGGTATTAGTAGCACAATAAGAAGAAATGTATAGTTACAATAAGACAAAGATCAGTCATCAGCCCTATTGGAAGCCTCAAGATTTCAAAGAAGAAACAGTAGAAATGTACTACAAGGTGAAAAAAGATAGAGAAAAAGATGCAGAGCTAGTAGAAGGTGATGAACAGTACTAGAACAATTTGATAGAAGAAGAGCTGCATAACATTGACAACATGATGGAACCATGAAGAGCTGACAGCAAATTAACATAAGTTGAACAACATCATGTAAAATAATGTATTTCCAGACATAAATAGCAACATCATTGTGGATCCCGTTACAATAATTAAATAATGACATAAGAGTAAATAAAGAAAAGATCTTGATCCATCATGGACTTTTCATACACAAAATGTTCTTTTGATTAAGAATGGATAGTGCTAGGCTATTTTCGTTAAAACTCCCTATAAACTTAGCATACTCAGATTTATACGCAAGTTTCCAAGCAATCAAACCAATATGAGACGAACACACACCTGCTGATGAAGAAGATAAGAACTTAAACCCTCGTGTATCATGTATCCAAAGCATTCTGGCAACCTCAACTGGGCCAAGTAAACCATGGGGAAACACCATCGGGTCAAGTTTTAGGGCCCTCTTACCTTTAAATGAAAACTATCATAAAATGGATATGGATTTTGAACAACGAAAAGCAAAAGCCATCCTTGGGTCATGGGAATTGTGTACAACTACAATTTTTTTAGGGTGAAACTCATTTGGACACACCAAAAAATGATAAGTATAGCCACTATAAAATTGTGAAATTATTCAAATAATAAAATTTAAAATTTGTGGGTTAAGGCTGTCCGTCTGCCTCTTTTCGCCCAAGTTCAATTGCTCTGACTCAAACTCAAAATATCAACATTAAAACTTTAGTTTTATGCATTAATATGTCTATCTTTCTAATTACTCAACAAACTTAATTATTTGTTCTTTTATAAATAAAATCAAAGACTCTTAACGTTTAAGATTTTCGACCGCAAATCAAACCTTGCAGGTAATTAAAAAAAGAATTTTTCACATAACGATGTATGATTTACTTGAAATATCGCTACAAAAACGTCGTCGATGGTTGTGTCTTGTGTACTTAATCAAATCGGATCACACGACCTTTTTATCGACGACACAGCCCACAGGCCCATCTAAAATGCACAGAAACTTCAATCCAAAAACAAAAGAAAGCACAGATAACACGACACACCCGAATGCTGAGAAATATGAGGGGGGGAAGACAAATGAGTCAGTTGAGTTCCCCTCCACAAAACCCAAAAAGGAAAGGAGATTATGAATTATCCAATCCCTCCTCCATCACAAAACCAAACCTCACCTTCTTAAAACAACCCCCTACCAAAAAACCACAGAAAATAAACCATGATCATTAATCTCTCAGCTTCTCCACCCTCCTCTTCTTTCTCTCTCATCAAGTTATCCAATTCCAAATTACCCATATCTGATTTTCCATCAAAACCCAAAACCCACCACCCAAAACCTCCATCTTCTTCCATTTGCTGCTCATTTTCTTCACCAGACCTTGGTTTTCACTGTAAGGATCGATTTTTCTCTGAAAATGGCAGGTGCCCACATGGGAAAAGGTTCAAGTTTCGGACTTGTGCGATTCCTGGGTTCGACTATGGCAACTTTGAAAGTGCTCAGTCTGTTTTGGAGGCGGCTGCTGTGTTAACGGCCATAATTGTTGTCCATGAGAGCGGTCACTTCCTTGCTGCTTATCTCCAAGGCATCCATGTAAGTAAGTTTGCAGTTGGTTTTGGTCCAATTTTAGCTAAATTCAACGCAAACAATGTGGAGTATTCTATTAGAGCTTTTCCTCTAGGTGGGTTTGTGGGGTTTCCAGATAATGATCCAGATAGTGATATTCCAGTTGACGATAAGAATCTGCTTAAGAACAGGCCAATATTGGATAGAATAATTGTGGTTTCAGCTGGTGTGGTTGCCAATATTATTTTTGCCTATCTTATAATATTTACTCAAGTGTTGTCTGTTGGTTTGCCTGTACAAGAGGCCTATCCTGGGGTGCTTGTGCCCGAGGTTCGCCCCTTCTCCGCTGCTTCCCGAGATGGGTTGCTTGCCGGCGATGTGATCCTTAAGGTTAACGGAAATGAATTGCCAAGAGGAGGTCCTAAT